TTATGTGCTATACCTATGCCCACCTAAGCCTCAGTAAGAAAAAGGGGGAAGGGGGTGATGAGGCATACACATAGTCTTGCTGATCATTATAAATTTGAGATGGGGGTATTCTTTACCAAGCAGTCCACCAAGGGAAGCACATGGAGTCTGTTGGCAAACAAACAAAACCACCCAAACTCTGTTTTGCCTGAGGCACAGTTCAGTTTTCTAGATAGAGGTACTTGCTTTTATTTTTTTTTCAGTGTTATTTTGATGACTCTCTTCATGGTGGGCCAGACTCCTCAAAGCCAACTCACTGCTACTGGTTCTTGACAGTCCAAATCTTGACCCTTCTTTGGGGCTCCCATTATCTTAACTGGAAACATTCATGGGTCTCCTACAGCTTCCCTCAGCAGATAATGGTTTGCTTCCTTAGTTTAAGTATCACTATATTGTAATCCAGGTTTCCCAACCTCTGATTATCCAATTTGATTTTAATATCAAACCCAGTTTCTAAGATTTGTAATTAAAATTGTCATTACATAGGAAATTCACTTGTAGAGGGAGCAACAATGTCTATCTGTTAAACAAAAAAAAAAAGTAACACAAGATGGCTTTCATTTTTTGAAAGCATTTGACTACTGTCAGTCTGTGTGCTATGGCTTCAATTTTACAAAGACCTGTTAACTGTCTCTGCTTTGAGGCTGGGTTTGTCCCACTGAGCACATGGGAAGTGAAAAGAGTAGCAGTGCATTTTCATATTTAAATAAACTATTTAGTAGGAAACAAAGTTTGGTTCAAAATGTTATTTGAGAAGATAATGTTAGATTTTGTTTGCTACAAAATGAACACAGCTGTTTGGATTCCCAGAGATCCAGAATGGATTGTACAAACACAAGTCTCCAAGATCACTATACTGGATTTTTTTTTTTTAAATAAATATCTGCCTGCAATTCTCTCCATGTAAGGCCACCATCCTCTGAATTCATCCACTAAGAGCAGCCCTTGAAAACACATTATGATTTTCAGCTTGTTTCAATAAACTTAGAAGCTGCAGGAAAAGGTGAACATTTTGCTCAAGCAGCTGAAATGGTTTTTTTTTTTACTTGTTTTTAAAAGCAATACATGATCCAAAGCCTCCAATATTGTTCTTGGAAGAAGTATCTAAGTTAACAGACTGCTCTGACACAATCTGTTTCAATTTGAGCACATGAATGAGGCTTTTAGCTAGCAAAATGTGCATTCAGTATTTCAAAGGGCCCTACGCTGGGGGAAGAAGGTGAAGAGAAAGCTGCAGAAGAGGGACTGACAGAACTGCATCACCAAAAAGAGACCAGTGCACAACCAGTGAGGTTAATATAACCAGTTGCCTGAATGTAATAAAGTAGAAAAAGGGGATTTACTAATATATGCTATACCCTTTTTGAGAACGTTCCCTAGCATGTATGAAGAAGTCACCTTCAACTACGGAGAAGGCCAAATATCTGCTTGCAAGCTTCCATAGCCTACTAGTACTTTTTAGCCCATGACATCTTGGGAAATAAAACAGCTGAGCAGAGTCTGCCTGCTGGCGCGCCGGGTCATTCAGTCACAGCG